TTCCAGCCACTCCCTTGTGGGCTGGTGCCAGTGTGACCTGATCTAGCGTAATATTAACATGATATTGGCAAAAAATCGTCATTTAGCATAAAATCTAGCATAATTTGGAATCTAGCATAACTCTGGCATAATTCTGATATTATTTAAAAGAAACATTGTTTCCATTGATCCATTGTCTATCGTTACCAAATGCATACACTTTATAACAGCATCTGTGATTTCATTTTGGGAGTAAATTGTGACTTCCCACCTTCAGAATTTTACTAGTTTTTTTGAATGGTTGGCAGCCACATATTTTGTGGTTGGAAGTCAAATGCAGCAGCTAAACGCAGAATACCAGTAACAGTAAATAACAGTATGACTGTAGTATGAAGAATCGATTAAACAACTGAATTTACTGATTGTTAAGGCTCTTGGCGGTTAGTAGAGCCAAAGAAGATATCCCAAAATTCAAAGTTAAATTTTGATTGCGATATCTCTCCCAATAATTAGCAAAAATTTAGCTTTTTGTATTCTGCGTTTAGCTGCTGCATTTGACTTCCAACCACAAAATATGTGGCTGCCAACCATTCAAAACAACTAGTAAAATTCTGAAGGTGGGAAGTCACAATTTACTCCCAAAATGAAATCACAGATGCTGTTATAAAGTGTATGCATTTGGTAACGATAGACAATGGATCAATGGAAACAATGTTTCTTTTAAATAATATCAGAATTATGCCAGAGTTATGCTAGATTCCAAATTATGCTAGATTTTATGCTAAATGACGATTTTTTGCCAATATCATGTTAATATTACGCTAGATCAGGTCACACTGGCACCAGCCCACAAGGGAGTGGCTGGAACGGGACTAGCAGGATTGCCCCTAAATTTCTTTACGATTACGCCCTTCGAAACACCGGAAACCACTCCTTTCAGAAAGTATTAGCTATTTTCTGTCCTTATTCATAAACATAACGATTTAGAGAAGATTTCAATTAACATAAAAATACAAAACCGAGTTAGATAAAATGATGATTAAATGAAATTTTATCAGAGTTAATTTCACGAGGGGCTTTTGAGCTAATTCACTTGAGATTGTTATTATATTCGTTTTGGTCTCTTGTGCCACGCTTCCTCGCGTTTTTGGGCAAGGGCAATGCGGGAGAGTCTTTTGGCCTCCTGAGGATTCGATTTGTATAACTAGGGTAAGATGTGTGTTTCGTGGTGTTTTCATTCCCTTGGTTAATCTAGGGGTATTTAAGGTTTTGGCATAGCATGGGTCTCACCTTACTTGGTAAATCCACAATGCAACTAGGCTGTTTTATTGCATTTTCCCAGCCCTCCCTCCCTCATTTTGTTTCTTTATGCAAATGCCTTTTCAATGTCACTTTGCGTGTTGATTTTTTTTTATGGCATCGTTAAAAACTCTCATACCTTTAGGCATCTTTTATGCTTCTTAGAGTTTTCTGATGCTATTAGGTAGGACTGGTGCATCGGCTATTAGTGGGGAAAAGAGGCTTTCCTGTCCATTCCCTCCCAATTATCAATCATCTTTGGGCGTTATTGTGTAACTACCCTTAGTAACCCCTTTATGGTAGGTTAAGCGATTGGCGCCGAAGCACCAACGGCCCAACTCGCTCTCGATGATGTGGGAACGTAGCCTCATGACTGACCTTTCTGATGTCTATGACAGTTTTTCTGAGGGAGCTTTATGCCCTTTATATTGCATTGGTATTTCATTTCCGAGTAAGTAAATTAAATACAAATTTATCTTTGATCACACAAGATAAAGCACCATCAAAAAGAACAAACACGTGTTCCCAGCAGAACTGCTACTAATGCGTTCGTTAGCGTAAACTTTCAAAACATTTTCTAACCTATTATTGCGAAAAAGCTGAGGAAGACTTTAGTCCCTATTATGCAACATTCCCAATTGAATATTCCTCCCAGCTACCACCGAGAGGCTTATAATCGTTCAGCTGCTGTAGCCTTGAGAGGAATCTTTCCAATGCATCTCCAATTTAAAACACCTTAGTTGAAATGGTTTATAACTTTTTTGAAATCTACTGAAAGATATCACATAAAAACCCCAAAATACATTACGGGCAGGAAATCATAATCTCGGTCTTGGTCTGAAGGCTCAGTGTGTTTTTTGAAGCAAGCCATAAAAGCAAACTAAATTGAGATGATGTCTTGAAGTTAAAGCTGTATACAGGGTCCATCTTACTTCAAAATAGCACACAACAATATCGTAAAGCGCAATTGATTTTTCTCCGCATGTACTGAAGCTTCGAGCTCTGAAATTTCTCAATTCTTTTTTATTATCCATTGCTTATTTCTTATTATCGCAATTTTCTCATAAAAAATGATGCTATACATAAGGCTGGGATTGGGCATTCATTGCGAATTGGAAAAATATTCCCATTTCTTTCTTAGGCGTTTCGATTGGTATTTTATGCTGCACTTTTAAGAACATGCATTATTTACAAATCCACACTTTCTACAATTACAGGGCCACAATTTTAATTTACAACGCCACAAAGTGAGTTAGGTCCACGCTTATTTTAGGGCCTGCGAAAATGGAACCAAAAATTAAAAATCATACTCTCACTTTTCCTAACTGGAAAACATTTTTCATTGGTTTCCACAACTTTTTTGGATTATTTGCCTGTTTGAGTAGTTCTTGATTGCACTTTATGATGTTTTGTCTCTGCATCTTTGTCACTAAATTACGTTCCTTTTATATGCCGACCAGTCCTTTTCTGTGCCAGATATTTTAGCTTTGATAAAAGGAAATCCCTTTCCCTCATGGCTTTCTTGAGGTTACGACCCAACCACGGGCAGTCACGTCCTCTAACAATGCGCTCTTTCAATGAGGCATGATTATCAATAATGGCAGTGGGATGCTCTCTGAATATCTTCCATGCAGAATTTGTGTCATGAATATATAACAATTTATCCCATAGGGCCTGCATAAGATCAAACTTGAGTGATTTCATGTCAAATTTGATGTAGTCTCTATACCAGATTTTGCGTTGTTGATATCACGTTGTTGATTGCACAGTGCATTTTTCGAATAACTTCGGTCAATTCATGGTCACTAAAACTTTGAACACCTCAGACAACGTTGTTGGCTCTAGACACGCGCAGTTGGTAGAAGAGCGCCAAAATTATATAATCGCATCGTTTTTGTTTTCTCGGGCTGGTTTCCTTCGTTTCAACAATCGCGTTTGTTAAAATCAGTTACACTTCAATTATGGACTATATTACGAAATATAACGATTTCTGTGTGAAAGAAGAGGCATCAAGCGTCAACGAAGAGCCTGTAACACAGAGGAGCTACAAGAATGTCCAATGAGACGATTTTAGGGCACGGCCTTGATATGGGATGCAACGCTCGTCTTGAAAGACCGCGATGACAGTGAAAATATCTTAAGATAAAATGGATAGAGAGGCAGCGATTGCCTTTCGTTTTTTCGGATCGAAATGTCGCGAAACTGTGCAGCCTTCAGAAAAATAATAGGAAGAATGGCTCATGCATTGGGGCTAGTGGAGCTTCGCGCCACCAAAGATTTCCAAAAATAGATTTAAGGTTTAATTCAACAAATTAAATGTCAATCACTATTTTGGCATGTTTATTAATTTCGCGAAGCTAGTCATATTGTAGCTGTTCTTTCTATAGGGATTCTCTCTCCTTGAATTGTTGGAGCTTGTTCCATTCACACTGGTTTTTCTAATGGTACTCTCTCCGCTTCATTTCGTGAAAGGTGTCATAATCTGAATGTTTTTCCTATTGGTGCTCTATCCATTTCATTTGGTGGAGTTTTTTCCCCTCAAACTGGTCTTTCTTTTGGTGTTCTAACTGCTTCATTTGGTGGAGCTGGTCTTATTGTAGCTGTTTTTTCTATTGGGATTGTAGCCGCTTCATTTGCTAGAGCTTCTCTAATTCTCACTGGGCTTTCTATTGGCCCTCCACCCTCTTCATTTCGTAGATCATTTTATTTCCATCTGGTCTTTCTGCTTTGTCTTCTTTGTTATATGGACTTCAGTTTCATGACTTTCTCGACGACAGCTATTCATTTATCAACGTATATCCGGCTTCTACGCATAGTTATTCTTCTCGCCCCCTTTCAATTCAAACGCAGGCTTAAAGGTATAAAATACATTATGGAAGTTATTGACTGCCAGCGTTACACAGGTGCGTTGATTTCCGCAATACCAATCTTTCTTAAGAACTTTAAATTGATTTGAGTTTTTTGATGATATTATTTCATTTGGAACAGAATTCAAAATCTTTGGACCCAAAATACTAATAGATTTGGTGCCATAGCTTGTAGTTGTAACCTTGGGACTAGATCGAGTATCAATTTTCCGAAAGTTAAAGCCATTGGGTTTTGCTAGCATCCTTATAAAGTGAATATGAAATATAGTAGATTCAGAAATGAATAGAAGTTTGGAATACGATGTATTGTAATCTGAGAAGACTAATCGTAGGGCACTCTCGTTTACTTTCTCGAGCTTCCTTTCCCTTGCATTACTGCAAAATAACCAGATGAGGGGCAGTAAATGAGGTAAAAAAGAAAAAACGAATTTACAATAACCACACTTTCTTTGCTACCAATGAACCGAGTTGGTCTTTTGATTACATTTAGCTTTATGGCAGCTTTTTTGTATACTTTATCCATATTGAAGTCAAATTTTAGTTGTTAATCGTTCAAAGAAAAAGATGATAGGAAAGCTATCTGATTGCTTATGTGGTTAGAAATAAAAAAGATTTGTTAAATAGAAATACATCGATATCTGTGTGGTTGGTCGAATCTTCCCAAATCTCATTTCTTATCGTACGACCTTTTGTATTAGATGCCTCAAATTGTAAAATGTTGACAAAATTAAATTGTGTTCTGGACAGGAAGAAGTTCGCAACAATGGCCGAGCTTTGTTTTTTCAGAAGATTATATGGTAAACTCTAAATGAACTGCTTTATTGGTATGTGACTTTATTCTCTGAAGTTCCCTCTCGTGGTAATATTCAAAAGAAAGCGGTTATAGGCAGGATGAACAGACAGTGGCATAAAAGTCGCGATTTTTGAAGATCCGTCAGACTGTATGGTTGCAGAGTTATAGGTATGACTACGTTTTCTGTTTTAGATTCTAGCAGTTTTACTTGTTTCATATTAGTTCTAGATCTTTATTAACGATAACAATTTCAACAAACATTTGCTATCTTGCTTATTATAATGTCTGATGTTCAATTTTCACATGTCGTTTTATCCTTTTATATAGAATCTTTTGCAAAGAACAAGTCCCTGAACGTGAAAAGGTTGGTTTACTGACAAAGTATTCCGTTATGTTGTTTATTTCTTTTCCTTTTTTTCTTTCGGTTACAGTTTTTTATTATTGGACATTTTTACTTTTCGTAGAATGTATTTTTTTACAAAATTTCATGTTCATAGTAACATCATTTACTTTACAATGATCATCTAGCTTGGATTGATCTCAGGTAAAATGTAGGCTTCTAGAAAAAATGTCTTAAAAATGAATTGTGTTTTCGAATCAGCCTGTAGTTAAAGTCAACGAAACCAGCTGACAAGGAAACAATTTCTTCGTTACTACAATCATGCGATATTGCCCTTCTTGAAGAACATCAAACTCTTCGAATCGTAAAATGTAGCGATTTTCCATAACCATTCGAAGAAGCACAGATTCTTGTCTTTTGCAAACTTTTTGCATTTGAAATTTTGATAGAATCATTCTCTGTTTACAAGAGAATCGTTGTGTCTTTTAACATTTAAACCCTTAAGAAATTTCAATGATACGTTGTTCTTGCTCTGATTTTACGCATTTCGATAATAATTGAAAAAGACACAATGCAAATTTTGATTTCCCAGAATGCAATTTAGATTATAAAGGTTGATCAAATGTATCTTCTATGTGTTTAAAAACCGTACGGACTCGTTGTGAGATGATATGTAATTTACTCAACATGTAATCTTATCGTTGTGAGAAAAGAAGTAATCTTAACAATTAGTTGCCTTGTTGAATTCATATTTGGGTAAGATAAATATAAAATCACAGTATATACAGAGCAAGCCCATGAGAAGTAATTCTCTCCAGAAAATTTCATTTCATTCTTTTTCTGCCCTCAGTGTAATGTTTTTTCTGCATGGCTTCGTTGAAAATAAAATCAAAATAAGGTATACCGAAACTGTTTTGGTTAGGAGATATCGATCTCTGCTTGGACAGTTGAAGCTATTATCGAAAAGTTTCGTAAGAAAGAACATTTGAATAGAAAGCATCGCCTAGGGCAACAACATAAGTAAAATAGATGCAATCAATTGCCAAAGAAACATACAGACTGAATTGTAATTAGTTTCGTTAATGCCAACATGGCTTGGAAATTTTAGGGAAATTGCGTTTAGTAAAGCCTTTCCTTTAAATTTCTATCCATATTCAACTGAAATATGTTTGCATCCATAGAGTTAAAGATGAAGTGTCTAGTCTTTTTGCTACTGATTTGTGCAGTTTTTGTAGCGTATTCAAACGGTAAGGGTATCATTTTTTAACTTCATTTTGTCTTTGCTTCGCCCCTAAATCAACCGCGTTTATTTTAGCAACAATTTATTGAATCTACTTTACCCCTTGAACATTTTTACGGATTCAGTGAGCTAATGACTTTTTCAGCGAAATGTGTTAGAAGTTCAAAGTTTTCTTAGCATGTCTTAAAAGAATTGAACGGAAAAGCTTTTTGAGCAGTAGTGGTGGTTTAAGAAGCCAGTTCTAGGGTATCTTGGATTGGTTCATAAACCTTTATTGGGGTCTATTTTCACATCAGGCTATCATTATTCACATTAGATTATTTTATCGTAAGCTTGAAAAAAAAACTGTAAAAAACCTTTTCTGCGTTCTTTCATGATAAAACCGATTCTACCTTTAAGCTCGAAGATACGACGAAGACGAGGACGAGAATTCAGAGGAGGACCAATTCGAGGACATGCAAGAGGAGGGGTTAGAAAACAGAGATCAGATGAAGAAAGGTTTTCATGACTTTTAAACCCTACTTGATCATCAAATATTTTAATAAGGCATTTGCAAGACATCTTGTTGACTGTTGCATCATATAAAAATATTTTGTATAAAATCTAAATAGATGTCCAGCTGAAATGTTTGCGATTGATGTTCGGATTGCATTGAGCATTAATGTTCATTTGCTGAAAAGTTCTCCAATCAAATCCGCTACTCTTTAACATCGACATCTTGAGCTTTATCTTGATAAAGGTATGGTCGTATGGTCTTTGTCGTATTTTGGGATGCACAGCATAAAAATGTATACCTTTTGAAGATAAATTGATGTAAGGTTTTTTCCTCTGCAGACCTTGTCAACCTTGTGGCCCGTCAGCCCGGTGAACGTCGCCGTCGTTGGGGCAAGTAATTGGACCATCAACTGTTTGGACACGTCACTGGCATGGGCGCAGTAGTGGAACTATTACCTTACATTAGCGCAGACTTTACATCTTCTCTTTTTTTTCTCTATAGCTATTGCCAAGTAGCCCAGTTATGGACATGCTCATACGTCCTGTGCTTGATTAATTTGTATGCTTGCTTTGTGAATGAATTTATCTTGGACGCAAGTTGTTTCTTTGATATCGGACATACTCTTGCATTGTCGTCATTTTATTTCGTCTTTAAATTGAGATTTAACTCAAAAAAATAAGTTTCGTTCGAATAGAGACAAACGTGATGTTTCGAGACAAACCTATTTAACATGAAGCTGAAAGGCATTTGGTATGCATAAGTAAACTTGGGTACAAAAGTATGGAAAATGTCCGCCATGAATTTGTCTTGTATCGATCATATGTTTTTAATTCTTGCTGCAATTTTTCTTTGTGTAGCTCGCCGGTTGTTTGTCTTACTTCTGTGAGTTCAAACAATACATGTTTTCTTCAGCTGAAACTAGGGCATTTTTTAAGGAATATTCAGTGGTAGGGCAATTTGGGCAATTTTCAAGAGGACCAATGTTCACCTCAAGATATATGCTAAGATATGCTTATGCTAAGAGATCCCTGTTTGTTGCAAGGGCTAGATGGGTTGTTTCAAACATATATCATGTATAAGACAACTCTGAGGACATTTGCTAAGAGAAGTTAGCAATTTAGCATGGAAGGCGGATTTTAAATCTTTGCATTATTTGCAATTTATTACATTTAGCAAAATTTCCATGATACTTTGCTGCCTTCATACTGATGTCTTTGATGGATTGAGTCTTTAGGCTTTAAAATTGTCACTAATTACTATTATAAAATCTCTTTAAAAACCTCTAGCATATTGTTTTTAAAAAATAAAATTTATCTCTTTTTATGAAAGGTTTTAGATCAGAAACTATACCAGAAAATATATTTTATCAAATATTTTGCAGTAAGAATCTGAAAGTCTTCAAAACTGAGGGCATAGCTTGTTCAACAGTTTGAGCTTGTAGTAGTGGAGCCATGTCACCAAAATATCATGATTTTAGAAAAATAATATTCTGTTTCTATTTGCCATCATCTATATTATTTTATTTTTAAAGAGGCCCATAGTGGCTTGGCATATAGGGGTGAAAGGATAATGTTTCTCCTTGGGGCGGGGGGGGGGGACTCTTAAGGTCCCCTGGGGCAATTCCCCCACCACTGAGTATGTTTAAAATGCCATGACTGAAACTGGCATTGACAGTACCAGCACTAGATGCTGGCTTACTGACATAACTCTTCCGTTGGTCAGCTCAGCAGTGATTGAAAGACGTTAAACAAAGTTAGACGGAAGAAGAAAGAAAAATTAAACAAGAATAATGATATTCTTTTATTATTCATGCTTGTATTCCGAGGAAGAATTTTTCCAAAAAATAATCTTATCACCACAACTATCTATTGTTAGAATATTCTTTTCAAGAGACAATAAACTCTCTCTGATCTATTTATATGATGGACGCCCCGTCGACTCCAGTCTGTGTGGTTCGTTAGTTCAACCTCCGGACAATTTCCAAAAGCTTCGAAAACCCTACCGAGAAAAAAGTAAGGTGAGATTCGAGAATAACACTTAAATTCGTTTTCTATTGGCCTTCCACGGGGTTATTTACCAAACGACTGCCCTGTTTTCCGCGAAACGTAAAGATATAATTTACAACAACGTCTTGAACGTAATGAGCAGTGCCGATAGGGGCCAGGGCCCCTGAAAGGGCCCGTGCTCAAAATTATTTTATTCAATCTTTTAACGATAATGCATCATTCCAAGTAGGCTTTATCCCGTTAGGGCCCGAAAAGGCTTTAATATTGAAGTATTACCAATAAATATCAAAGCATTTGAAATTAATTCGTTCATAAAAGAGTTTATGTTTAAAACATCTTAACGACGGTCTTAAAACTCGGGCTAGGAAAGTGGATCCAGTGTAATATGCGTTTCGGTCCCCCAGTGCGAAAGTGTCCGGGGGGACCGAAACGCATAGCAAAACGACACTATGCAAAAGTGTCCCCTCTATAAAACAATAGGGGGACACTTTTGCATAACAAAACTGTATGCGAAAGAGTCCGGGGGGACCGAAATGCATAGCAAAACGACACTATGCAAAAGTGTCCCCTCTATAAAACAATATAGGGACACTTTTGCATAACAAAACTGTATGCGAAAGTGTCCGGGGGGACCGAAACGCATAGCAAAACGACACTATGCAAAAGTGTCCCCTCTATAAAACAATAGGGGGACACTTTTGCATAACAAAACTGTATGCGAAAGAGTCCGGGGGGACCGAAATGCATAGCAAAACGACACTATGCAAAAGTGTCCCCTCTATAAAACAATAGAGGGACACTTTTGCATAACAAAACTGTACGCGAAAGTGCAAAACAGTTTTGTTATGCAAAAGTGTCCGGGGGGACCGAAACGCATAGCAAAACGACACTATGCAAAAGTGTCACCTCTATAGAACACTATAAAACAATAGGGGGACATTTACCTAAAAACTGATTGCCCTATCTAAAACATCTACGGAAGAGGTCAATAATTGAAATATCGCTCTGGTTTAATTATTCATCAAAATGTCTTATTGATAGGATCAATAAAATATGATTGACTTTCTTCAAATTTGTAATTGACTTTCTTCAAAGTAACATTTATTCATAACTGTATGGCAAAATTTTAAGGGAAACGTAGAAAACTTTATTTAGATCTTATAAAGAGAGGAAATTACAGCTGAAGAGGTAGGATTATTGACACATGAACATAGCATACAGTGGAATCCCGATACAATGAACCCCTGGTATAACGAACTCCCGATATAACAAACTATTTTCTGGTTTCCTTCAGAAATCGTTATATCGGGATTCCACTGTATTTGTTATGTCAAACGAAATCAATAGGTAAAACCAATATATTGTTTCATATTGAAGTGAGACCATGCTATCCACTATCTAGGTCTTGGCAACCGTAAGCAGACGTATGGTCTTATAATGCGATTCAAGGTGCACAAAAAATTTAGCCTGGGTATACATTCCACTGCAAAGTTCCCAATGGCAGAGACAGAGAAAGAGTGGGTGGGACATCTCGGTGTAATTGATTTTGTATTTCGCCGAATTCCGATGAGAAAATTTTGGGAAGGGATAATATTTTAGGAAATTATTATACTTGATTCTGTGTAACCAAAAAAATTAGTCTTGAGCGCATCCTACTTGTAAAATAGTTACTTTCTGGGGTTAAAAGGGCGCTTTTTGACTGCAAAAAGGTGTGGAAATTTTTTCATTCTGTCCCAACCACACCTTAGTGTCTTGCGGCGCCACTGAAAGTTCCTTGTTTCATCTGCTATAAAAAGCATACCATAAGTTCCATAACACTCCCTTGTCATATACTTTAATCATGTCATATACTTTGAACAAATTAATTTAAGTTTCTGATCCATCATTCTCCAAGGCCTTTGTTGTTAAAGAAAGGAGAAAAGGTGGGATATTTTTTTAAAGTCTTAAACTGGGTGGTACAAGAACAACTATAAAGTAAATTACCATATGATTATATATTAGCATTATTGTATTAACTCCTTACACTGGTTAATAACAGGGCCGCACTAGCATATTTAGTCCCAAGCATAGATGGGCCTCTCTATGAACTAATGTGAAAATTAAATCTAATGAAATTTGAATAATCATTGGATGCTGAATTTTTGTCTCTGTAGTTACAAAAAGGCATTTTATGAGTCGAATAAAAACATTTCATTATTATGTATATGAACAAAAAGAAGTTATTTCTCAAATTTTAATAGATAAATATATATCCTTAATCATGTCTCCTCGATTTACTTGCGACACGAGGCGACATTCTGTGACTTATACAACTTTTCTCTTCAAATGAATATTCAAGGGTGGAAAGCTATTTCAAGGTTTTGATAGATTTGGAAATTGAAACTTTGGACTTGAATATTAATTTGTTTTTGTGTTTCCATTTTTGTATTCCGTTTTTGATTAAATTTCGATTTATTGCTAATACTCCGATTCTTTCTAAAGGGAAAAAAGTGGAGTGCAATCTTTATAATGCAAAGATTGCTTAGATTTCTTGCGGTAGATGATAATAGTAAGCCGAAATAGAAAGTTGATACGGTGAGTTTAGGCCCATCAGCTTGATTCGTGAAATCGTGGCAAAACTGATGGTTTATTCACAAGAGACGCTCCCTTGTGTTTAAAATCAAATTTTTTTACTCGTGCATACTTGATTGTAAAGAAAAGCTATGTACAAATCTAACATTAATTGCATATGAAAGGCGTGAATGTTGACATATAATTTATTCGTCCCTGCTCTGTTTGGCCTAAGCCTTGCTACAATTTGAATATATAGTAAACTTTATCGTGAATATCGACATTGTCTTTAATCATGCCCATTTAATAGTATTTTTTCCAAGATGCTGCTACTGAAAAGCTATGGGGCTAGTGCCCCTCGAAGCATGCATACATTAGACGGGGAAGATATTCTACCCCATGTTAAAAGGGACAGCCCCTCCATCAAACTTTATGACACCTCTGAAAAAAGTTATCAAAGTCTCTAGAATCAAGGCGGAATTTTCGCATCCTTGCTTTTCAACTAAGAGACAAGGTAGGCAAAGTATTTAGATGTGTATATAAACTGTATACTTTCCAAGTTTAGGCATCTTCTGTATCAATAAATGATCCAAATCCCCCTATTGATTTTTTTAAATTGAGGAAATTTTTGTCTGAAAACATTTTATCTTGAATATTCTGTACTGATATTTACAAGTATAAACATAAAATATTGCTAATTCTGTTTTGTTTAAGAGTTAATATTGTTCAGAATGTCTGCTTTTCAATTTGGATGTTCTTGACATTGACAATTATTGTTCTTGGTTTTTCAAACACTCTCTATTGATGCTGAGCTGAGCATTTTCTTTTTCAAAGAATACATCTTCTGAAAACTCTTACTCACTAAACTTAAACAAGACAACAATAGATGAGATGTTTCTTGTATAGTGTGAATTTGATATGATGATGTCATCATCATTAATAATATTTAAACACTACAACTATCTTAGGGTTCACATTACTTTGATAGATGGAAAGAATACATTATTTTTGTTTCTTGAAATTTTTTATATGGTT